ATGGACCTGCGGTTCCTGGGGAGGGTAAATTGCAGCGGATTTCTGGTGGATCTGCCCAAATGACATGCCTACAATGCCTGGCCTTCCTTTTGCTCCTTTCCTATTGGTACTAACTAGTAGCCCTGCTCACGAATTCATGCACCAGTAGCTCTCCATCCCCTGCTCCACCCTCCTATAGCTCCCCTCGGCCCACCCTCACCCCCACCCTCCCTCATAGCTTGTTGCCCTGCCCCCTCCTGTAGTTCTCCGCCCCACCCTCCTGCTGGTCCGTGCTCCAGTTGTTACAGTCATTAAGCGTCAGGGAATAACAGATAATCAGCACATTCCTCTCTTATTACATAGGATGAGCTCATCACAATGGTAGCAGTATGACTAAAAATGAGGGGATCGAAATCACTTGTGCTGGTAACCAGGCACACTCAAAGCTAATCACAGATTTTTATTTTAGTACAGACATAGGGCTAAAGAGTACCGAGACCTTCTTCCTCCCTATCACAGGTTATAAATACGTACAGCCTGATTGATGTATTTTCCTGTCCCTGGAAAGGTTCCATTATGTCTGGACAAGTGACTTTCCAACCCAGGTCAATATTATCTTAATTGTTTTTCACAGATAGGCCGACTCTGAGCATGTTCTCCTGCCTGGGACTTTTGAATTATGTCTTGAACGGACACCAGGCTGGCTGTCAGGAAATCAGATTCCCGCTGTAGCTGTCACCGACTTTTATGATCACCTAATACCCTCAGGGCCTTCACATCCTTGAGAGGTTTGCGATGCAGAAGCAAGACATGAAGTCCAGGCAATCAAAGAGTGGGGAGGTTTTAATCTTGAGCTCCTGGGCGAAACTCACTGGTTTGAGGGTGGGCCAGGGAAGTTTGAGCCAAAAGGGGGCATAGGTACTTCCCTTATATAGCTGTTTGGTGAGGGGAGGGTGGAGGGCATGAGAGGTGTGGAATTCCTGCCTGGGGCTAGGGGTATAGGAAGGAGGCAGCTATCTTTGTCACCATCCACCTTGCAGATGCTTGCATAGGCTCTGGGCTTCCCCCTGACTCAACCTAATAATTCTCACCTGAGAACTGAATGAGTTCAAGTGGAGAATCTCAAAGGATCCTTCCAGCATTAGTGCCAATTCTACTACCATTTAACCAAAAGCTAGAAATTAGTTCCTGACCTTCCCTTCAAAAGTCCTTGGAATTAGAATGAGTGAGTCTATGAGCAATCCCCACTGAAAAGTAACTGAAGCTAATTGGCCTGTGTTTTTCCAAGAGAGAGAATTTCTTCTTCCTTCTTTCCTTCCTTCCTTCCTTCCTTCCTTCCTTCCTTCCTTCCTTCCTTCCTTTCTCTCTCTCTCTCTCTCTCTCTCTCTCTCTCTCTCTCTCTCTCTCTCTCCCTCTCTCAGACTGAAGCAGTGATTTTTAAAACAAAGAAAGTGAGAGGGCAGGGCGGGGCTAACTCCTGACTCCATTTTGTACTGTGGGGCAGGGTGGGGCTATCCTCCATTTTGTAACTGGACCCTAGTCCTCACCCAACCAATCAGGGTCAGCCAAAGCAGTGACATCATCACCCCTATGAAACCCCTTGATCTGTTGAAGGTCGTGCTCTTCTACCATGCCACTGTTGGTGTAAGTGGGACAGCGTCCATGCTAGCATGGAACAGGCTTTCTGCTATTGCATTGGACTCGGCTCCCTGGTGGTCCTTGGGATCACGAAATCTGGGTATAACATTTGGGGGCTCGTTCGGGATCCCCAATACCCGAGGGACCCCAATCCGGAGAGCCTGACTGGCCGCGGTAGGTGTGTGTGTGTCTGTGTCCTTGTGTGAGTGCTGAACCCCCTCATGTCGGTAGTGCCCGAAGAGGTCTAGGTGGACACACCGCTGGACGACCACTAGCCAGAGGATTCTGAAGACGTTCCAACCTCCCAGGAGGGCCCCTCACAGGCAGGAGAGATGTGGAAACCTCTCGCAGGATGAGGCGGTCGCTTCCACCAATCAGCGTGAGGCTGATGTCTGATTTTTCTTCTAAGGAGTTGAAATGTTGATGTTGGGCGCCCTCTTCTTGTGGGTTGTTGTGATTTTCTGTGTTGTGGAGGTCCAGAAGGGCCGATGGTAGACTTGTTGTTCTAGTGAGTGGCCAGCTTTCAATGTCGGATGGCCACCAGAGGGCCACCAGTCTGCAGAAGGCCATCATCTAGTTGATGTTGCTTGCACAGAATTGGAGACTGTTTTTAGGGGCCCTCTGTCTGTTTCTGTGTTCTGTTTGTATGTTTGTATAAATAAGGGTTTCAGTTTTCTCTTGTTTGTAAATTTGCTGACTCTTTCCCCCCAGAGCAGGCAGGAGGGGGGGGGGGGGCGAGAAGTGGCCTCATACTCACCATCTTTTAGGCATCGGGATTTCTGTACTCATGTAAGGCAGAAAGGCCAGTTTAAAAACTGAGTGGGCATAGTTTTTGAGCTGGGCTTAACTCTTTTCTGTGTACAGAATAAAACCCTAAACTGTTTTTTAGCTTTAAGGATGATGGAGATGAACTGGGAGATAAATTAAAGCTAGTTTCCCAAGAAGTTCTTTTGAAATTTCCCACCTTGAGGCAAGTAACCAGCAGGAAGTAGGTAGCAAGTTTACATATGAATGGCTGGGAGTTTGCCTCTTGATTCCCCCTAGCTTCAAGTAGGCAAGTTCCCTCTTCAGCTATCTTTAAAGAATGTGTTCATTTGCATTTGAATGGCTACACCTTTGCTAGCCAAGGGACAACTTTACATGTGAATAGCTACAAGTTTGCTTCCTAGTTTTCCCAGGCAGAAAAAACAAACAAACAAACAACACATGGATTAAAGTTAATTGTTGGATTTTGGAATTTGTTCTTGAAAATATAACGGTTTATTAATGGGGAGCTGCTAAATGTTTGACTTTCAAGTTCTGAAAGTTTAAGGCTCAAGTTGAATTAGGAGAAGTTATATAATTGTGGTAACTAAATGCCTAGAGTAAATAATTAAGAATTCAAGATATATTACTTGTTTGGTCTGATTTTTAAAAAAAGAAATAAAGAAACCTTTAATTTGTTTAAGGCTAAGTGCTCTGAATTAATTTAAAGATATGAAGTTTTAACAATTGTGGTCCAAAAGGTTAAAAGCAGGGACCAAATTCTAAAGTTTATTGTTTGTCTCAATTGGCCATTTAAGTTTGATGTGATTATTGATTATAGTACATTTTAAAATCTTTAGAAGAGAAGGAAAATATTTTGTGGGCCACTGGTCCGTGTGTGTGTGTGTGTGTGAACTCTTAAATCAAACATGCTCAAGCAGAGGGGCTTTTCAGAAAGGTCAGAGAGTCTGATTGCAATGTAGGGGTCACCGGTTCCCCTACTACCGTGTTTCCCCGAAAATGAGACATCCTCCAAAAATAAGACCTAGCGCGTGGAAAAAATAAGACATCCCCTGAAAATAAGACCTAGTGCATCTTTGGGAGAAAAAATTAATACAAGACACTGTCTTATTTGGGGGGAAACAGGGTAGCCGGAGGCAAGCGCCTTTCCCAGTGGGAACAGAGTGGACTGCCAGATGGAAATGCCTGGGTGGGAGCACCTCCTTTGCCACCTGGGACCCAAGCCTCACTCCCTGCCTCCACCTACCCGGGGTCCATTCCCACCATGGGTTGTTTTGAGACCCAAGAACCCCCAGCGACTGCTTGGACACTTTTCACCGAGTTCTGTTAGTTCTGTTAGCCGCAGTTAGAAATTCCCCCATTCCTCTTTTCAGGCTTATCAGAAACGGAGATCTGTATCTGTAGGGAAAAATGTGGCATTTTAAATTTCAGGCGGCTGGAGGCCTGGGAACAGTTAGTCACCTACAAGGGAGCACTCAAATGATTGTCAGCTGATTTCTCAACAGAAACTATGCAGGCCAGATGGGAGTGGCAAGAAATATTCAAAGTGATGAATAGCAAGAACCTACAACCAAGATTACTCTACCCAGCAAAGCTATCATTCAGAATTGAAGGGCAGATAAAGAGCTTCCTAGATCAGAAAAAGCTAAAGGAGTTCATCACCACCAAACCAGGATTATATGAAATGCTGAAAGGTATTCTTTAAAAAGAGGAAAAAGAAGAAAAGAGTAAAGATAAAAATTATGAACAACAAATACATATCTATCAACAAGTGAATCTAAAAGTTAAGTGAATTAAAAAATCTGATGAACAGAATAAACTGGTGGCTATAATAGAATCAGGGGCATAGAATGGGAGAAGATTGATAATTCTCAGGGGGAAAGGGGTGTCTGTTTGCGGGGTACGGGAAGAGACTGGACAAAAATCATACACCTATGGGTGAAGACAGCTGGGGTGGGGGAGGTAAGGGCAGAGGGTGGAGTGGGGACCAGGTGGAGGGGAGCTATGGGGCGGGTGGGGGGGGGGAGAGAGAAACAATTGTAATAATCTGAACAATAAAGATTTATTAAATTTAAAAAAAACAAACAAACGTGGGTGTGAACTTGCAAAGAATGCCCAGGCCTAGCCGGTTTTCTAGCACCAACCCTCCTCCCACCCCCTGCCTTCCGCTCACCAAGGGCCCCACCTCTCAGCCACGCTCTCCCCTCCACCCCACAGTGCGTTGGAATGGGACGCCCAGGACAAAGCAATGTGGCCCCCATGCAGGTCTCCATGTGGCCAGTGCGATGAAGAGAGCTGGGCCAGTCCTTGGCTCTGCCTTTGCAGGAAGCTTCTGGGCTGGGGAGAGCGAAGGACAAGATGGTGAGGCTGGCGTGAGTCACTGCACCCGGCCCGCTTGAGACAAGCTTGGCCAGTTCAATTGGTGGGAACTGTCAGCTGTGCGAGGGGCTGTGGCTTTCTCAGCAGCCTCGTTAGCTCTCAGTCAACCAGAAAGCCTCCGGGTGAGGAAACTGTGGCCAGACCAGGACCAGCGGCGGCCGCGCACTCCCGTCCCCCTGACTGGTGGCCGTGGGCCTGTGCACAGAGGCTGCACACAGCGCCCGCCACGGCCTGTGGGGATGCTGGGGCCAGCTTTCACCTTCCTAGTCCTGTTCCTGCATGGACGGCACAGCCAAGGTGGGGAGGCCCCATCTGCATTGGGGGGGCGGGGGGTGCATGGACTAGGGGCCAGGCCCGTGGCGTCAGGTCCTGGCCCCTCTGGGTGGTGGGGCTCCCCATGGCCATTTGGAATTGGCTGAACCTGCCAGGGACAGGCTGCGGAGGGCGGTGGACCCAGAGCACAGCCTCGGACTTGGTGGTGGTGTGGTGGGAGGCGTCCTGCCTGGCCGTAAGGAGGCCAGGAAATGGCCTCTACCTGGATGCTATTGGCTGCAGAAAGGAAAGGGCCCTGGGCTGGGGTTTCCACCAGCAGGTGGTGGTTCTGGAGTCCAGAGACCGCACATCGTCCCAGAGGCAGGACCCTGACGCCCAGGAGGGACGGCTGTCCTCTGCTTGGTGGCCTGGCCCTCTGGCAGCACCAAAGCCACAGGCGCCTGTGGGGGGGAGGGGGAAGGTGAGGCCACTGGAAGCTCAGAGACTCCGCCCGGAAGCCTGGGAGACTTGGAGGGCATTGTGGCGAGTACTGAGGGCACCCTGGGCAAGAAGCGAGGGCGCAGGCCCATGAGTGCTTGTCCAGGGCCCATGAGAAGGCTGAGCTCGGGCTGAGGGGGCAGGAGCCTGGCTTTGGGGATGAGAGTGGCAGAAGGTTGAGGGTGAGATGAGACGATGAGGCTGTGATGGGGCGAGCTCTCCCTCAGCGGCCGGCTCTGCTGGCAGCTCTGCAGCCCTGGCGGGCGGCGCTGGGTGCGGGGCAGGGGCTCGGGCTAAGGGCCCTGTGGGGCGGGCCTGGTGGAGGCAGACAGAAACCACTGTTTTTTAAAATATATTTTATTGATTTTTCACAGAGAGGAAGGGAGAGGGATAGAGAGGTAGAAACATCGATGAGAGAAAAACATCAGTCAGCTGCCTCCTGCACACCCCCCACTGGTGATGTGCCCACAACCAAGGTACATGCCCTTGAGCGGGATCAAACCTTCAGTCGGCAGGCCAATGCCCTCTCCACTGACCCAAACCGGTCCGGGCAGAAGCCACTCTTGTTTTAATTTTTAAAAGGTATAGTTTGAAAAAATTTTGGAGCTCCGGAGCAATTATAAGAAAATGCTTGTATTTCTTCACCTAGATTCACCAGTTAACATCTAATCGCCTTCGCTTCATTCCTTTTCCCTCCACTGCGTGTGCGTGCACTGGGAAGTGGATGCTGCTGATGGCTGGCTGAGCCACCTGAGAGTAAAGCCTCTTTACTCCTAAATATGTTGGCACGTATCTTCTAGGGACAGGAATCCTTCCTTATCAGATGACTTCAGCACATCATCACATCTAGAAAACCCAATGCTACGCCGTGGAGTACAGAGGCCACTTGTGAAGGTGCCGCTAGCCAGCAGCCAGCAGCCGAGGGCCCGCGGCCGCACAGCCGGACCGTCCCTCTGTCGGCCTCCGCGCCCTGCCCTTCCTGCAGGACGTTTGTGGTGACAGCCACAGCCCCTCTCCGGGTGTGTCAGGTGTTTCCTGTGATTCAGAGGAGCCCTTTTGACCAGGATGCCGAACAAGTGCTGCCGCCTTTGTTTTCAGACCTCACCGAGGATGACGCTTTTCCGTTGATGTTTTTAGGGGGGTGGATGGGAGGGGGTGGAGGGAGGGCGGGGAGGTGAGAGGAACATCTTGGGTGGCCAGAGGACTAGTGATTGAACCTGCAACCTGGTCCCAGCCTCCACCCAGAATGGAGCCGGCCAGCGGGTGCTCAGACCAGCTCTGCACCCACCCAGCACCGGCCAGGGCCTGGGGTTGGTTGGGTTCATTCGTCCCTTCAGGGGGCATGATGACAGTGAGATGTTTTCTTAAAAACGTGGGTTCCTGCAGAATTCAGTGACCTTGCAGGCCCTCACCCCTCCAGCTGCTCAGCTGCCCCAGGGTCTTGATGAGCCTGAAGAAGCACCTGGGTCTGGGCCCTGGCCCCTGCCCGCCGCCCCCCCCCCCCGCCCACCTCCCCGCACCCTGCCCGCCAGCCCCGCACCCTGTGGCTCCCGCCCTCAGCCTGCCCGCCCGCCCCTCCCTCCGCTGGTTCCCAAATCCCGAACCCACTTCCTCAGAGATGTCTTCTTCCTCCTGAAATGGCAGCCACCTAGGCCCGAGCCTGCTGGGCTCCGCACCGCCCCCATTCCACATGTCCCACAGCTTATCCTCTGTGGCCGACCTGTCCCTTCTTGCCTGTCCGCTCTGGTCTGTCTGCTCTGGTCTGTCCGCTCCGGCCTGTCCACTCCGGCCTGTCCGCTCTGCTCTGTCTGCTCCGTCTGGTCTGTCCGCTCTGGTCTGTCCGCTCCAGTCTGTCTGCTCCGCTCTGTCCGCCCTGGTCTGTCCGACCTGGTCTGTCTGCTCTGTCTGGTCTGTCCGCGCTGGCCTGTCCGCTCCGGTCTGTCTGCTCCGCTCTGTCCACTCTGGTCTGTCCACTCCGGTCTGCCCGCTCCCGTCTGTCTGCTCCGGCCTGTCCGATCCAGCCTGTCCGCTCTGGCCTGTCCGCTCCAGTCTGTCCGCTCTGCTCTGTCCGCCCTGGTCTGTCCGACCTGGTCTGTCCACTCCCGTCTGTCCACTCCGGCCTGTCCGCTCCAGTCTGTCCGCTCCGGTCTGTCTGCTCCGGCCTGTCCGCTCCGGCCTGTCCGCTCTGGTCTGTTCGCTCCTGCCTGTCCGGCGAGTTTTCCGTTTCTGTGGTCCTGGGGTGGGGATGCGTCTCTGGGTTCCTCCTGTGTGCAGTGAGGACGCGTGTACCTTGCACGTGCAGTGAGGATGCGTGTTCCTCCCATGTGCAATGAGGACGTGTGTTCCTTGTGTGTTCCTCGCGTGTGCAGTGAGGATGCAGTGAGGACGCAGTGGCCTCCTGGGGCAGCGAGGCTGGAGGGAGGCGCGAACGGAGTGCTGCAATGCCAGGCCTCCAGCCCCAGGGCCCAAAGAGGCGGCTGCTCGCTGTACTCCGGCCCCAGAGCCCAGAGACCACGCCGTCACCCCTCTGCCACCACTTAATGGAATAGAAAGTAAGAAAATGTTGATATGAGATGATAAACCTTGACTGTGCGGCTCTTTGCTGAGGTTTCTTATCATCGTAACCAGGAACTTAGGGAGACCTCCACACCTTTAGCTTAGGGGACTTAGGAGATATTTAGCTGTATTATTACATCATGTGAAACATTTAATTTTAATCTCCATTCCTGCTCCTCCCTGGATGTGTTTGCGCAGCCGTACGAGACGCTGGGCTTCACGCCTTCCTCCGGGCCCATGTCTGCCCGGCAGCCAGCGCGTGGCACAGGGCGCTCAGCGCACACAGCGCACACGGCCGAGGCAGTGGGCACCGAGGAAGGGCCCGTGCCAAGCACTCAGAGGCAGATGGCGGGGAGCTCGGGTCAGAGGGGTTGGGGGACCTTCAGGGCACTGCCCACACGAGCGGGCCTTGGTCCTAAAGGTCACTTGACCCCAAATCCCGGTTTTGGCCGTGCATCCTGAGGAAGCCCCAAAGGACACGCTGGAGGCTGCGGACAAAACGGGCAGCACCGGGGGGTGAGCTGAGGGGCTGCGGCTGACACCCACGTCGCAGCGGGGTTCGGGCGGCTGTGTGGCGGGCTGGCAAGCTCTCTCTTCCTCAGAGGGAGGGGTGTGCGGGCTCAGGAGAGCCCGGGCAGAGACGCCGGGCCCGCCGGCAGGAGCTCGGCCGGCAGAAATCACTAGGGATGCTGAGCCTCTGCTTCTCGGCCACACCGCCCCCGACGTGACAGGCACAGGGGGCACCGTCACTGCTACTCAGATGGACGGCGCTGTGCGGCCACGCCTTTCCCCGTGTTCCCCGCCCGCCCCCCCTGCATCCTGGGTTAGCTCCTGTGAGTGGACTCAGAAGGCACTCTTGTACTTGGCCTCTTGCTCCACATCTGATGAGATTGCATTATCGTGGCTGATCATGTTGATGACTGGACAAGGTTTCGCTGTCCACTCTATGACGGCTGATCACCATTCTGCAGCTGGGGAGGCCCGTCTTCTGTGTGAAGCTTCTGGAGCCTTTTGTGGGTGCTCCATTAGTCATTCTGGGAGCTAACTGAGGGAGATTTAGGAATTTAATTAGGTAATTAGACAGCTTCATGAAGCCCTTGTTATGTTCCAAGACATATGCTAGATTTTGTGAGGGAAAAGGTGAAACAGATGTGGATTCTATCCTGTTGGGATGGAGTCCTGTAAACTAGGAGAGACAGGAAATGCTAAGGTCGCTCAGAGGCAAGCTGGACGTAGAGAACCAAGACAGAGAAAATGGAGGTTCCTGTTGGTGGGGCGCTGGGCGGGGCCTTGCAGGATGCAGACCGTTTGGGAGGAGGGAGGACCCTGCCAGGCACCCCCTTTCCTTGGAGAGACTGTGCGGTGACAGTGCGGGTCCCCAGGTGGCCTCTGGGGTCAGGCTGCCCGGGGAGAGCAGGCCTGGGTGTCCCGGGAGGCGGGGCCTGGGGAACGGGGGCGCGGACCGCGGTGGGGCTTTGCTGGACGGTCCTGCGCCTGCATCTGAGGCTCACGGTAGAACTGCAAAGGTTCTGAGCGGCTGTGGTTGCATTGTCACATTAGTTCTCTGTCAAGCTGCTCAAACTATGCCTCAGCTCCCAGCGCACCGGAGAGCATTGCTCTGAAGCTGCCGCTGCGTCTCCTTCCCCAGAGGCCCTGGTCTGTCCCGGCGTCTCCTTTCCATTTGGGGATGTGTCCTCTTGTGAGGCCGTTTTTTGGGTCTGTTTTGTTTTGTTTCATTTTGGACACCATTTATGAAAAGTTTTAGAAGTGATTTAATGCTCTGGTTTATGGTATTTTCCTCCAGGAATAACACAGTTCCCTCTGTAATCCAAGTCTGTGCACGTGATTCCACACGGGGTTTGAGTCTCTGTGAGAGTGAGTTCTTGTTCACTCTTCAAAGATGTTTTTATTTACTCACTTTTACAGAGAGAGAAAGGGAAAGAGAGAAGCCAATTTGCTGCTCCATTTAGTGACACACTCATTGGCTGACTGGGGATCGAACCCACAGCCTTGGGGTGACAGGGGACCCTCTCTGGAGGGAAGGGGTGATTCTTGTTCACTCTTAATTCTTAGTGTGCAGCCATTCCCAGCACCGACCCCGAGCCTGGTGGGTGAGGCACCCACACCTCCTTTCTGAGCTCGGTGCTCTCGTGGCTCCTGGAGTTGAGTAAACTCTGCTAAGCTGCTCAGCCTCCCAGCTGCTTTTTATGGAAACAGATGCCTCCAGGGAACAACAGTAAAACCGATAGCCCTCTCAATTTCCTTCTCTCAGGTCCTGGCCCTTAATATTTCACCGTTTTTTGCCCTAGCTGGTTGGGCTCAGTGGATCGAGCATTGACCTGCAGATAAAGGTCCTGGGTTCGATTCCAGTCAAGTGCACATGCCCGGGTTTTGGGCTTGATGCCAAGGTTGGGTGTGCAGGAGGCAGCCAATCAATGTTTCTCTCTCATCATTGATGTTTCTATCTCTCTCCCTTCCTCTCTGAAATCAATAAAAGAAATATATTTTTTAAATAAAGAAAGTTATATCAGAGTGTGTCTTACATCTTAAAACCAAAAAAAAAAAAGCTTTCTTATAAAATTCCCCCCACCATTTCATTAGCTCTCTGACGCCTTTAAAAAATGTCCTTATATTTTGCCCATTTTTCTTCTTATTCTTAGTGGGAGTGTTGGTTAGCATGTCTCTACCTGGTCTTCTGTGATTAGATTAAAACTTGGGCGGCCCCTTATCTCAGGCACTAGCGTGTGCTGTGGGACCAGTATGACCTGGTCCCAGATGCCGGATTCCGGGGTCAGGACCTGTGCCGACACAGGAAGAGGCCCGGGCTCCTCAGGGCTCTGGGACTGTGGGGACAGTGCAGACGGAACACCCAACCCTGTCTAGAAGCTTACTCACGACTGTCCATTCCCGAGGGGCCTGTGTGCAGGGCTGGCGTGCTGCCCGCTCTCGGGTGTAAAGAGTCTGAGGACCACGGAGACGGCCAGGCAGGCCCAGGCTGCTCCCAGTGTGGTGACAGGCAGATTCCCTTCGTGTGCATCAACCTCAGGGTCACCACCAAAGGAACAGATTCTATCGACCTCTTGTCTCTATAGCCTCATTTAACAGATCTGTTCCTGTCGATAGCCGTCTCCTAACCTCTCCTCCAAAACTCTGACCCCCTCCAGCCCACCCATTCAGGCTGGCTTTCCTGCTTCATTGGCGATGTGAGCAACTCTCCTGCCCACACGGCCACGGGGACAGCCCTGCTCTTCCCCGCTGGCTGCTCTGCGAGGGCGGGGGCACCCTCCTGTGCAACAGGTCCCACCCTGAACCGGGCAGGAGCTGGGAGGTGCCCGGGCAGGAGCTGGAGGTGCCCGGGCAGGAGCTGGGAGGTGCCTGGGCAGGAGCTGGGAGGTGCCCGGGCAGGAGCTGGGGGTGCCCGGGCAGTGTATTTTTATTCTTGCCTTTCCATTTTTTTCCTACGGAGGAATACTTGTGGAGACCTTCCAGTGACTGAAAACCTGGCAAATAAGAATCAAGGACCAGTTTGTTGCACCAACTTCTGGTGGGGGGGGGGGGGGGGTAGAAGCCCAGCTCTGTGGAAGGGCAAGGAGGGTGCTGGAAATTCAGTGTGGAGTTTGCCTTCCTTGGTCTGACTGTTCAGAACGTGGTGTAATGGTCACCACTGGTCACCCATGATCCCCCTGCAGGGGCCGTCACATCAGATAGAATGTTTATTTAGAGCATTGTACTTAAGAATTCACCCTCCAGCCCTAGCTGGTTTGGCTCAGTGGATAGAGCGTTGGCCTGCAGAAGGGTCCCAGGTTCGATTCCAGATTATGGGCTCAATTCCCAGTAGCAGGAATGCAAGAGGCAGCAAATTAATGATTCTCTGTCATCACTGATGTTTCTATTTCTCTTTCCCTCTCCCTCTCCCTTCCTCTCTGAAATCAATAAAAAACAACAACTATCTAATAAAATAGTAATATGCAAACTAACAACCACTACCCAACACCCACAAGCCACGCCCACCAGCCAATCAGAGTGAGTATGCAAATTAACCCAACCAAGATGGCTGCAGCCACAGAGAGTAGGAGGGAGGCTTGGGTTTCCCAGGCAATGGAGGAAGCCAAGCTTTCCATCTGCCCTGGCCGGCCTAGGCCTCCACTCAAGGCTACAAAGTTTCAATTATAGAAGGTAAAGCAATCCAAACAGAAATGGCGGCAGCCACAGAACAAGTAAGGAGGCTTAGCTCTGCTCCAGGCTACAAAGTTTCAATTGTAGAAGATAAATAAACCCCAGATACCAGGGCTTCTGCTTGGGTTGCCAGGGGGCGTGGCTGGCCTCCAAACCACCACAGGGCACTTGTTCAGGCTGCACCACACTCCAAGGAACCAACACCTTGATTCAGGACACCCTTCAGGCAAACCAGCCGGTCCCCACCCATGCACCAGGCCTCTATCCTATCTAATAAAAAAAGTAATATGCAAATTGACCATCACTCCAACACACTAGAAGACTTCCTCCATGTGGTCAAAGATGGCTGCCCTCATATGGACACAAGATGGCCACCATAAGATGGCCTGCAGGGGAGGGCAGTTGGGAGGACCAGTCCTGCAAGGAAGGGCAGTTGGAGGTGATCAACCCTGCAGGGGAGGGTAGTTAGGGGTGACCAGGCCGGCAAAGGAGCAGTTAGACATCAATCAGGCCGGCAGGCAGAGGCAGTTAGAGGCAATCAGGCAGGCAGGCAGGTGAGCAGTTGGAAGCCAGCAGTCCTGGATTGTGAGAGGGACGTCCGACTGCCCATGGGATCAGGCCTAAACGGGCAGTCAGACATCCCTCAAGGGATCCCAGATGGGAGAGGGTGCAGGCGGGGCTGAGGAACACCCCCTCCCCGCCCCCGTGCACGAATTTCATTCACCGTGCCTCTAGTCTATAATAACAAAAGTGTAAGGTGCTAATTAGACCAGACGACCTTCCAGAGGAAGTGGGGGCTGTGAGGAAAGCCTGGGTCCCAGGAGCTGGAGGGAAGCTGTGCCGGCAGCGGGGAAGGAAGGCCTAGTCTTACACAGATTTTGTGCTTCGGGCATCTAGTAAATAAATAAGAGAATTCAGCCCTCGCTGGTTTGGCTCAGGGGATAGAGGACCCACGTTCGATTCCGGTCAAGGGCACATGCCTGCCTGGGTTGCAGGCTCCATCCCCAGTAGGAGGTGGACAGAAGGCAGATGATCAATGATTCTCTCTCATCACTGATGTTTCTATCTCTCTCCGTTCCTCTCTGAAATCAATGAAAATATTTTAAAATTCACCTTCTAAAGCCAAATTGACTGTGTTGCAGGCTCATCTTTCTCACTGATAATTAGGGTTGTGACTTTAAGTTCTTTCTAAGTCTGTTTCCTCGCTTGTCAGAGGGGCCGCTGCACAGTGAAAGGTTCACAGCTGCAGAGCGGTTCCACCTGCCGGGTGCTGAGCTCAGGGCTCCCTCTCCTCTGGGCGGGGAGAGGGGCCAGAGAGCAGGCGGGCGCTCAGGCTCAGGCTCAGGCTCAGGGAAGTCAGGCCGCTGCCCCCTTGCTGAGGCTCCGCTCTGTCGCAGCCGCTGCCTCTTGCCTGGGACCCCGGCCTCCGGATGAAGCTGTGGTGAGGCGCTCGGGCACGTCTTTCCACTTGGGGCCCAGCGACACCCCGCCAGCGGTGAGCTCCTTGGAATGGAAGGCACAGCTGCGCTCAGAGGAAGGCACTCGCGTGCTGTTCACCTGGAGGGACGGTGGCAGCTCCGAAGGGGAGCGCTGGGGCTCCGGCCGCCACAGGCTCCGCCTCAGCACCAGCCGGCTGAGTCTCCTCTTCGAGGCCGCGCAGCAGGACGACAGCGGCACCTACTCCTTGGAGGTCACCAGCGAGGCGGGCGCCGTCAGGACCCACTGCTTCCTCGTGTCCGTGCTGGGTGAGTGCCCCGCGCGCGCGGGCGGGGGCCTGGGGCCGGCCTGACCGAACCTCTGCTTCCAGACGCCGTGCGGCAGCCCGAGCTGCGGCTGCTGGAGCAGCGGGCGGCCCCGGGCGGCAGGTGCCGGGTGACTCTGAACTGCTCGGCCTCCGGAGGCGGCGATGTGGCCTACACCTGGTCCAGAGGGGGCCAGGCCATCCCGCCGCCCAGGAGCCCCTTCCGCCTGGAGGAGCAGACCGGGGCGGGCGGCCTGCACACATACACCTGCAACGCCAGCAACGCGGTCAGCTGGGCCAGCCAGAGCCTCCAGCTCGGCCCGGGCTGCGGGAGCGCCGGCCACGGTGAGTGCCCTCGGGGCTGGGGAGCAGGAGTCGGGGGGTCTGGGAGCCCTTCGCCAGGGTCCTGGCCTCAGTGGCACAGGTCCGGGCAGCCAGGCCGCCTGGAGCTGGGAGAATCCGTCCCCATCAAGAACCTCCTGGAAGTCGCTTCCTTCCCACAGGAAGCCCTCCTTGTCTGGGGAGGGACAGCCAGTCTGGCTGTGAGTTGTTTTCTTCTTTGGCTGCCGGACGCTTCCCCCTCAGGGGCCGCCAGCCCCTGCCCTGTGGCCCCAGAGCAGTGCAGGGGCTGGCGGCTCAGACGGGCACTGGGCAGAGGCACTGTGCTTCCCTGAGAGTCACCCGGGCCACTTCGCACCGCTTTTTCTTGGGTAATCAGACCTAATGTGATGTCAGCATGGATTCACAGGGTGTGCGGGCAAGACCTGCCTGCACCCTGTCTTTAAGGAACTTACAGCCAAACAGGGGCACAGAGTAAGCTCTCCCGGCACACCGACACTAAAGCCGACGCGCGGGCACACTGGGCAGCTCCTGCAAACGCCTGGCAGGCTGCAGTTCAGGCACAGCGAGGCCCTGTCTGTGAGGGCCTCGTCGGCAGCATCTGGGCTGCCCTCCTTCCCTGCGTGGCCGCTCGGCACTGCCCTCGGCCACGGGACAGGCCCTGGCACGGACGTCCCGCGGGGAGAGCAGAGGTCGCAGAAGGCGGTGGAGGCGGCCTGGCAGGAGCGGGCATGCTTGTCGCGGTAAAACAAAGGAAAGGGTCTGGGTGACAGTGACTGAGCTGGGATCTGTCCGCTGTTACTGCTTGCTGTGTAGGTACATTGTCACCTCCTGTGAGAAAACAGGCCCAGAGAGGCTGAGGAGCTTGCCCAAGGGCACAGAGCTTAGCGTCAGCACCTGATTCCGAGTCCCCTGCTCCAGTGTCACTGGGCGGCCTTCCAGTGGAGCAGGGAGACACCTCTGACCTGAGTTCACAGGGGTGAGAGCAGCACCTCAGAGATGGGGGGGGGGGGGGGAAGCGGTCACTGCAGCAGGCAGGGAGGCAGGGAGGCAGGGAGGCAGGGAGAAGGCGAGTCCTCACGCCCATGTCTCCGTCTTCCTCAGAGCTCAGCCTCCTGCCCCTTTTGATGATCATCCTGGTTCCCAAACTCATGCTGCTCGGCACCCTCACCTGCGTCTGCATGTGGAGAAGGGGGAGGAAGCCGGCAGGTAGGGGGAGGGGCCCTAGGACAGGCTGCCTGACCTGCCTCCCCGCACCGGAGGGACGTGCCCGCGTCAGGGAGGGGACGCAATGGCTGCTCCGGGTCTCGCTGGGGGAGGGGTGCGGGGTGCGGGGGGAGATTGCATGGCCTGATCCCTAGCAGCAGCTTTACTGGCTGTGGCTGGTTTGGGGGAAACTATCAGGCAGGTGCTGCCTTGAGCTCTTTGAGTAACCCTCCTCCCTTCTAGAATCTTCCTCAGGGTCTTGCCACCTTGAACGAGGGTGGATGCTGGGAACGAGCGCCTGCCCATCCCCCCCAGAGGTCTCTGAGCTCTGCTCTGCTCCCTCCCCCAGAGCCCGGTCCACAGGAGGCACTGACCGTTTGTGAAGATGCCCGCAGCCCGCCCATCGGGAGCGGCCAGGTGCGGCCCGAGGCGGGTTCTCGCCTTCCTTCCTTCCGGACGTGTCCTGGGAGCGTGGCCCTGCCCAGCAGGGGCCCGAGAGCCCGCTGCTGCCTCTGAGTGGCCTCAGCCCATCTCGTTCCCTCTCAGGTCCTAGCTCTGGCCGCGGGTGGACAGAGAGAACTGGGGGAGATGATGAGATGAGGCTCGGTGCGTGAAATTCGTGCATGGGGGTGTGGGTGTGGGTGTCCCTCAGCCCAGCCTGCACCCTCTCCAATCTGGGACCCCTTGAGGGATGTCTGACTGTCCGTTTAGATCTGATCCCGGTAGACACATCTTCCCAAAAAAGAGGGAAATGGGAATGTGAAGAACAGTGTTAGCATTTAGCTCCAAAAAATCACAAACACATAAAATATGGGATTGGGCCTAAACGGGCCGGAAATCCCTCTCACAATCCAGGACTGCTAGCTCCCAATTGCTCGCCTGCCTGCTTTCCTGATTGCCCCTAACCACTTCTGCCTGCCAGCCGGATCACCCCCTAACCACTCCCATGCCAGCCTGCTTGACATCTAACTGCTCTCCTGCCAGCCTGTTTGCCCCCATCTTCCCTCCTCTGCTAGCCTGGTCACCCCTAACTGCCCTCCCCTGCAGGGTTGATTGCCTCCAACTGCTCTCACTTGCAGGCCTGGTCCCTCCCAACTGCCCTCCCCTGCTGGCCATCTTGTGTCCACATGGTGGCAGGATCTTTGACCACATGGGGGCAGCCATCCTGTGTGTTGGAGTGATGGTCAATCTGCATATTAGTCTTTTATTAGATAGGATAGAGGCCTGGTGTATGGGTGGGGCCAGCTGGTTTTCCCTGAAGGGTGTCCTGGATCAGGGTGGGGGTTCCCTTGGAGCATGGGGCGGCCTGGGCAAGGGGCCTGTGGTGGTTTGCAGGCTGGCCATGCCCCCTGCAACCCAAGTGGAGGCCTTGGTATCTGGGGTTTGTTTAACTTCTACAATTGAAACTTTGTAGCCTGGAGCAGAGCCAAGCCTCCTACTCACTCAGTGGCTGCTGCCATTTCTGTTTGGATTGATTTACCTTCTATAATTGAAACTTTGTAGCCTTAATCAGAGGCTTGGGCTCGCCAGGGTGTGTGGAAGGCTTGGCTTCTTCCATCATCTGGGAAATCCAAGCCTCCCTCCTTTTCTCTCTGTGGCTGCAGCCATCTTGATTGGGTTAATTTGCATACTCTGTCTGATTGTCTTATGGGCGTGTCTGATGGGTATGGCTTGTGGGTGTAGCAGAGTGATGGTTAATTAGCATATTACTCTTTTATTATAATGCTAATATTAGAGAGGAAGGGAGAGGGAGAGAAACATCAATAAGAATCATTGATCTGAGGAAAAACTAAGATAGCAGCATAGGTAAACACCTAAACTTGGTGCCTCTCACAACAACTTCAAAACTACAACTAAAAGACAAAACAGACATCATCTAGAACCACAGGAAGGCTGGCTAAGTGGAAATTCTACAACTAGAAGGGAAGAGAAAAGCACACTGAGACTCAGGGGAGCTGCAGAAGTAAAGTGCAGAGGTACAGAGGTACATGTGTGCGTGGAGGGGACTGACAACTGAGGATGTGGCTGGCTTTTTAAATCCGCAGGGAGACACAAGCTCCCAACTGCTCTGAACTCCAGTTCCGGACAAGACTCTGGGGACCCAGACTCATATGGGGAGAAACTGGACTGTCTGGCAGCAGTGGAACTCAAGGGCGGCTTTCTCTCAGAGGCGCTTGCAGTGATTACCAAGAGACACTGAGACCCCAGGGCCTCTTAGGGCGAGGCTGATGGGAATCCATTGCTGTTTGCTCCACCCTGAGACTCTGCCCCATTCAAGCTGTGTGCAAAGGCTTTTGCATATGAATGACATGGTCCTTTGAAATATAAACTTACCTAACAAACTGCAGCTAAGTCAGAGAGACCCAGGACATCCAACAGAAGGCCTTAAGCCCCACAGCAGCTTGCATTGCTTCACAGCTGGGCCTCATCTGGGCACCTCCAAACCCAAACAAAGAAGAAGAATCTGCAGATCTCTCTGTTGTTCCTGTTGAGTGGCCTCAGGCAGAGGCTAAATTATCATCTCCTTGGAGATCCAAGAGCCAGTGTACCGAGAGGTCAGAGTAGGACCATCCAGATTACAACTCCTCAGATCCATAAGGGACACACTCAGGGGGCAGACTCTGTGAGCACCAAAGCCCCACTGAAGCAAGTCTTGCCCCATAAGGGTGGCTTCAGTACAGAAGTCCATCCATCACAGACACAGTTGATCCTCACAGCCAACTGGTCTGGAGGTCAATTCCTCCCAGTGATATCGACAACAATCAAGGCTTACCTACAACAAGACTGTGCATACAGCCCAAAAGGGGTGCACCAAGAGTGTCCAACTCAGGTAACTGAGGAGGCTGACTGGGGGGCCCCCACAGAACACCTTGCACACAAAGCCACTCTATCAACTCAAGGAAGCAGCCAAAATGCATAGACAAAGAAACAGATCACAAATGAAAGAAATGGAGGAAAGCAAACTACTGGATATAGAATTCAAAACCATGGTTATAAGGTTTTTCAAGAATTTTCTAGAAAAGGCCAATAAATTTAGTGAAACCCTCGAGGATATGAAAAAGGACCAACTAGAAATTAAGCATAAACTGACTGAAATAAAAAATAATATTCATAGATCTAACAGTAGACTAGAGGATTGCAAGAATCAAGTCAAAGATTTGAAATACAAAGAAGCAAAAAACACCCAACTGGAAAAGAAAAAAGAAAAACGAATCCAAGAGAAACCAAGATGGCGGCAAAGGTAAACAATGTAACTGCCACCTCACACAACAATTCAAAACTACAACTAAAAGACAAAATGTCTATCACCCAGAACCACAGGAAATCTTAATGAATGGAAGTCTTAAAACTTAAAACAGAAGGAAAGAGAAAGGAGCACAAATGCTAAAAAGCTGAGGGACAGAGGTGCACAATTCAGGCTGATGGCAGGCAACTGGGCACATGGCTTTTTTCCAACCGAAAGGGAAACAAGCTCCCAATCACTTTGAAATCCAGTTTCTGGAGACACGAGGAGGCCCCAGACGCCTACAGGGAGAAGCTGGTCTGACAGCCATCGGGTCCCAACGTGAGGGTGACTTTTTTTTGCAGCAATCATTGTTTACTGTGCTGGAGCGCAGGACATAGGGACTTGGAAACGCAGAAAGGCAGAGAATGCTGATGGCAGCCATTGCTGTTTGCCATGCCCCAGCCTAGTGAGACCCCGCCCTACACATTCTACAAACCCTCCCAGGCTCCACACAGTGGCTTTTGCATATAAATGGTCTGTCCTGTGGCAGCTTAACAAAATAAACTGCAGCTCTAGTCAGACTGCTCCAAAACTGACAAATCCCAAGAAAAGAGGAGAAAACTGTAGTTCTTGCTGTAGCTCCTGCTTGGTGGCCTCAGACAGTAGCTGACCTACATCCCATAGGAGATCCAGAAACTAGTGTATCTAGTGGTCAGTGTGAAACAACACTAGATTTCAACTACTCTTTTAAGGGAAACATTCAAGAGACAGACTCAGTGAGCACCAAAGCCCTACGGGAACAAGTCCTTCCCCATAAACGTGTCTCCAGCACAGCAATTCTTCCATTATAGACAGAGCAAGTCCTCACAGCCAATTGGCCGGAAGGTAAATTCCTCCCAGTGACACCAACAACACTCAAGACTTTATTACAACAAGGCTGTACACACAGTCCACAAAGGGGTGCACTAAGAGTGTCCACCTCAGATACCTGGGAGGCTGACTCACTGAACCATATAGGATACCCAGCACACAAAGCTACCCTACCAACTCAGTGAAGCAGCAAAAATGAGGAGACAAGGAAACAGATCACAAATGAAAGAAATGGAGGAAAACAAATGACTGGACATAGAGTTCAAAACCACGGTTATAAGGTTTTTCAAGAATTTCCTAGAAAAAGCTGATAAATTTAACAAGACCCTCAAGGATATGAAAAGGGACCAACTAGAAATTAAACATACACTGACTGAAATAAAAAATATTATACAGAGACCCAACAGCAGATTAGAGGAATGCAAGAATTAAGTCAAAGATTTGAAATACAAAGAGGCAAAGGACACTCCTCTGGAGAAGCAAGAAGAGAAGAGAATCCAGAAAGTTGAAGATAGTGTAAGAAGCCTCTGGGACAACTTCAAGTGAACCAATATCAGAATTATGGGGGTGCCAGAAGAAGAGAGAGAGCAAGACACTGAAAACCTATTTAAACAAATAATGACTGAAAACTTCCCCCACCCGGTGAAAAAAAATAGACTTACAAGTCCACAAGCACACAGAACCCCAAACAAAAGGAATCCAAAGAGGACCACACCAAGACACATCATAATTAAAGTGCCAAGAGCAAAAGACAAAGAGAGAATCTTACAAGCAGCAAGAGAAAAACAGTTAGTTACCTATTAAGTAAAGGAGCATCCATACGATTATCAGCTGATTTCTCAACAGAAACTATGCAGGCCAGACAGGAGTGGCAAGAAATATTCAAAGTGATAAATATCAAGAACCTACAACCAAGATTACTCTACCCAGCAAAGCTATCATTCAGAATTGAAGGGCAGGTAAAAAGCTTCACAGAGAAAAAAAAGCTAAAGGAGTTCATCACCACCAAACCAGTATTATATGAAATGCTGAAAGGTGTTCTTTAAAAAGAAGAAAAAAATAAAGATAAAAATTATGAACAAAAAATACATAACTATTAACATGTAAATATAAAAGTCAAGTGAATTAAAAATCTGATGAGCAGAATAAACTGGTGAATATAATAGAATCAGGGGCATAGAATGGGAGGAGATTGATAATTCTCAAGGGAAAAGGGGTGTCTGTGTGGGAGGTACAGGAAGAGACTGGACAAAAATCATACACCTATGGATGAGAACAGCGAGGGGGAGGCAAAGGCAGAAGGTGGGGTGGAGACTGGGTGGAGGGGAGATATGAGGGGGGAAAGAAGGAGAAACAATTGTAATAATTAGAACAATAAAGATTTATTAAATTAAAAAAAAGGAATCCAAAAAAATATGAA